GGCAGTAGTTCCTCGACTGCCTGTTGCGGTTATAGCAATTCTTGTTCCTGTAATCGCAGTTCCTGCTTTAGCTTTCTTACTTTTACTAGCTCCAGAAACTGTAGCTATTGCATCAGCAAGCAGGCACAAGGCATAAGTAGCAACAGAGCTAAAACTCAAGCAAGGTATTTCCTTAGACGAAAGCTAAGAAGTAACACCAATGAGTTATAACGCGGGTGAACGAGTTAACGCAGGTGAACTCCTAACTTCTAAGGAAGAAGGCAAGGGCCGGTTGTGATATCTAGTGGTTGTAGTTATTTCGTCAGCAAGCAATAGAGTAGTGGAGTTACGACTCTGTAATCTGTAATCAATAGAGTTAGTACTCTTTAATCAAGCCAGCAAGCAAGCGAGAATGTAGACTCTGTAAATAGATATACTCTAATCTCTCCTTCCTCTTAATAAGCTGCCTTACCTTAACCCACTGACGTTAATGCAGTTGAAGTTGCCGTAATGGCAGTAGTAGCAATGTCTTTAGTAGCTTTAATAGTAGTTTTAGCAGTAATAGGAGTAGCGTTAATTCCAGTATCTGTAATCTCCGTAGGAGTAACCGCAGTAGTAGTATCAGTAATAGTACTAGCAGTAACGGTAATAGCTGTAGCTGTTTTAGTTTTAGCAGTAATAGCTCTTTCTTTCAATTGAAAAGTAGCTGCAATAGTAAGAACTCTTTCTTTTTTACTATCAGTAGTAGCTGTTGCCGCGGCTTACGCTGCTGTTGTACCTGCTGTTTCAGTAATAGTGGTTGAAGTAACAGCAGTTATTCCTTTCCTCTTCTGTTGCTCAGTACTAGGAGTAGGTCCTTCCATAGGAGTAATAGCAGTAGTAGCTTCACTAGCATTAGCAGTAGTAGCTGCACTAGTGGTAGTTCTTTTGATAGTAGTTGCAGTAATAGCAGTTGAAGTAGCTTTTTTAATAGTAGTTTACACTGTAATCTAAGTATCCGTAATTCCTGTATCTGTACTCGCTTTAGCAGTATCAGTTTTAGTAACAGTAAGAGTTGCTTTAGCTTTAGCTCTTTCTTTAATAACTGCATTAGTAATCCCTCTTTCTATAAGTAGTAGCTAGCTATTGTAGCTGTTTGTTGTTCTTCCTGCTGTAACTGTATCAGTAGTTGCTGTATCAGTAGTTGTACTAGCTGTGACAGTAATATTAGTAACTTTAATGGTACTAGCTGTAATCAAGGTAACCACTGTATCAGTATACGCTGTTGCTTTAGTAGCTCCTTTAGTATACGCAGTTGCTGGACGACTAGTGGTTCTAGAGTTAGAGACGCGTCCACGCCCTCGGAAGCGATTGTTTTGAGCAAGGAAGGCAGTGGAATGAACCTGCGTCTGTGATTGCTGGTTCGCTTGCTCGAGGCGTGATTCAAACTGAAGCAAGAGATAGTACAACTCAGAGAATGTGGCCGGTTCAAGACGTACGGTGAGGGCGGTTGTCACTTCGAAACCTGAAAAGAAAGAAAGGCTCTTTTTATTACTTTGCTTTAATTAGATAAGTACTTCGAAGTACTAATGCTGATATGAACAGTTAGGTTGTGAGGAAATAAAGAGGTCATTGCTTCTTAAGCGAGATCCTGGTCAATGTTAAAGTGACGGGGTCGGCTATGCATAGAGTGGTTCGGCTCGTTCCGTATTAGGAAGGTAAGCGAGCCGGGGAATTGAGTGGTTCCCACCTGAACTACCGCAAAGCGAGGGGGAGGGAGGACTCAACATTAGCCCTAGTAGCTCCTATTACCTTACCACTTCTATTCCCAGTTCTTCTGCTACGACGACCTCCTTGACAGCACCGGTGACATCGACTCATCACATGGTGACTCGGTCGAAAAGTGGCATTCGGAAACCAAAGGTGCTATATGCTACTCGTCATCCTATCCAAAAGATATGGACGTCAGACCGGACTCATCGTCTCGGTTCGTCTGGTCCGCCGCGTTCTTAACCGGTCTCTTGACATATAGTTAGTTGTTTTGTATGTCGAAGTTTCGGTTCGACCGCGGATGACTGCTTGCTACCACTGCA